GTGGCTGCCTAGCCATAACGGGTGTGCATCAGGATCTGGGGGAACATCTGTTAACCAGAGCCCCACAAGGGATAACAAGGACTGATGGTCATAAACTCCTCCAAGACCGTTTTAGGCTGGACGTAAGGAAAAATTACTTTACTGTCCGAGCCCCCAAGGCCTGGAATAGACTCCCTCCAGAAGTGATGCAGGTACCTACTCTGGACTCATTCAAGAAACATTTGGATGCTTATCTTACAGGGATCCTTTGGCCCTAGCTGGCTTCCTGCTTCCAGGCAGGGGGCTGGACTTGATGATCTTCAACTTCCCTTCCAGCCCTAACGTCTATGAAATCTGTGATGGGAGAATGAAGACTTAGAGCCACTGTACAAGGTCCTGTTACTACAAATTTGGTTACCCTTGTTCAAGGTAGATCAATTCATTCTGGAAAAGAGACAAAGAAATGCTACTAGGAGGGACAGGGGAATAGACACCTTCACTCATTGAAGGACATTGGAAGAACTTGGCTTATATGATAGGCCTGTGCAAATAGGGAACTATTCAATTCAGATTCAGATTTGGCCAATTCGTATGCCAGCAATTTGATTCAGAGATTCAGATCACATTTCTGATTCGATTCGGCCGAATCGACTGCAGAAGGTTTGGAGCTGATTCGAAGAGATTTGGAGATTCAGTCATAGAGTATAATGGGGAATTGATGAACTATCTATAACTTTGTCATTTTTTGTCTGATTCAGATGAAACTTGCAGGGATGGTAGCTCCTGATGAATGCATGAAACCTGACAAGGTTCAAAGTGATAGATGCAGGGGGCTCTGGGAAACTGCACCTCAAAATTGTGAAAGTAAAACTCATGTCACATGTGTGTCCTACACCACAGAAAGGTAAAAACTGCAGGAATGGTAACTCTTGCTGAAACCACAAAGTGTACTAAGTTTCAAGAAGATAGGCGCAGGGGTTTCTGGGAAACTGCACCTCAAGCTGCTGACAGACAAAACTCAGGACATAGATGACACTGTGCGTGTTAAGGCACGGGGTTGGGGGTGAAAACTACAGGCCTGCTAGGCCCTGTTGTGTCCACAAAGCCTGCCAGCTTTCAAGGAGATAGATGCAGGGGGAGTCTGGGTTCTGGGGCCCTGCACCTGTGGCTGCACGCAGGCAAAACTCATGACATCGGTGGGTGACACAGTGTGTGTGTCACGTGCGCCCTTCCTGGCACTGGGGCCTCTGCACAACATGGCAGTGTGCCCCAGTGAGGCTCCTCCTCCCCTATAGCCTCAGTCCAGTCCACCACTGTAAACGGCAGCAGGTAAAAATGACTTGGGTAACTCAGCAATCAGCACCAGTAGCACCAGCAGCATCTCTGGTAGCCTAGCCAAACTGTCACAGAGCCTTTTTTGTTATAAAGGAATTGAAAGCAAGAAGTAAAGATGTTGCACTGGATATATATTACTCGTGGTGTGTGATGGCTTATCTTGTGTTTTTATGTTCATGTGTTTATTATGAAAAAATGGAATAGTTAAAGAAATATCTCTTAGGAAGCTTTCGGGTTGAAAAACCCTTTGTCAGGATGAGGAAGTACCTGCAGCTCGTGTGTCTCCTGGTCCTGGATGGAAGGAATAGTAAAGAAGCCAGAGGCTGGCCTGACATGCAATGCAGGCAAGAAAGCCAGCCAGTGAAAATGGAAATGGAGGCATTGGGGCGAGGGAAAGGCTGGGTGGGGAGGGGAGGGAAAGGGGGATGAAACAGCGCAGGTAAAAGTGCGGAGGTGCCTGGGGAGGCAGATGTCCGGCCGGTCGCAGTGTGCCAGAACTCCACTGTGTGTACTGAATCCATGAGTTTCTGCACCTACTACCTAGGAGGCTGATGATGTGCAGTTCATAGGCCCAGCTCTGAAAAGTGGTTTGTACATTCAAACAAGCACCTAACCTCATCACCAGAACTGAAGCCAACTTCCTACAGCTCGAAACATGAAAACCACCAACTATCTCCAGTACCCCCACAAACTGCACACCAGGATCTATCAAACGCAACAATACCCAACTACCTGTGGGGCACATTTCTAACCAAAAAACCACTGTGCCCCCCAGTCTCTCAGGCCCGATCCTGAGAGGGAACAAATTACAAACCATTTTTCACAGCCGGGCCTATGAACTTCACTTCATCAGTCTCCTAGGTAGTAGGTACAGAAACTCATGGACTCCATATACACACTGGAATTCGGACACATTGCAACCTGCCAGACAACTGACTGCCCAGATACCTCTGAACTTTTACCTGTGCTACTACATCCCCCCCCCCAAGCCTGTCCCTTTCCCCCTGATGCTTCCATTTCCATTTTCACTGCCTGGCTTTCTTTCACAGACATACTGATTTGAAACACTGAAACCCCCACAGTGTAGGAACTACTTAGCCAAGGCAGGAGTAAATCGTAACTGTGTGACCATCTTGCATGTTCCAAAGAAGTCTATGATATTCTCTTGAGTTTAAAATCTCAAGGGCTCTTTAACAAGAAGGCAAATATAAAACAACCTCCTTCCTGCAACCAATTTGAGCTCCGTGTCATTAATGAGGTGGGTACAGATAAACAGGTTGGATGGGGATGAAGGGTGTTGCCTGCTGATGGAAGAAGGGTATAATTTGCTACTGTATTTTGACTTGGAAATGTGAGGTTCTCTTTTATACTATGGAGGAAAATGACATGTTCCCAGGCCTTTTTCAACATCCTAGAAGGGTATAACTTTAATATGCTTGCGAACCAGGCGTGCTTGTACTGTTGCATGCTGCTGGGAACAAAGCTTTATGATGCATCAGTTATTAACAACCAAAAGCATTGTGTCTGCTTTGGAGAGAAAAGTATTGATGACAAGTACAGGAACTGTGCACTGACACGGTCCATTGACAAAGATGGTAGCGCGATCCACTACCTATTTTCAGCTTACTATTGATTTAGAGTTTATTATATTAATAAATAGGCATCCTACAGGCGATACTAACTCAAAGTCCTTCCATGATGCTAAAACTTTGCCCTATCTTAGACTACTTAATGTATGCTTACAGAATAGCTATATTGCTTCCCTTTATTATAGCCTGAAGTCAAAAGGAAATACTGTTTTTTGTGATCTGTGTAAGTAGCAGATCCCATTTGGACTTTTTTGATAATATTTTTTTCATCAACTAGAAATATTTCTTAAATTGGCGGAGGGAGGGAATTATGAAAAAATCAAAACCTTAAAAGGTTTTCCATTCAGCACATGTTCAGCATTTCTAGATGCACAATTGCAAGCTGAGAATTTGTATTCTGTCCATATATCATATTGCTTTGGTCAAAGCTGTTCGTGAGCCCACCTTAGATTCCTCACCTGTAAAATGGGGGAAATAATGCTACTTAATAATTCTTAATAATATGCTGGCTTAGCATATTACCAGAAGAAAAATTACTAGAATGTGTGCTAGGATATTCAAGCGGTATTAAATGTCAGTGACTTTGAAGTAATATTGGATTTCAGTAGGACTCACACTTCCAAATGAAGTTTCTTAGGAATCTTTTGACAAACCAGGCTTTGCTGGGAAATGCAGATTTGTTAAAGAAAAATGTTTGAGTTTCTTTGAAGAAACATCTTAGAAATGTAAGGCACTTTCTTGGTCGATTTCCAGTCTACCTCATGGGCTGTAGTGTATCCTGGGATTGTAGGATCCGTTACTTGAGTATGCAACCTCCAGGCAGACTAATAACACCAGACCATCCAGGGTCCCTGCTGTTATGTGGGATAGCCAGAAATGAGGACGTTTGGGCTACTGAAGTCCCTCTTACCAAGCCAAGAACCCAGACACGCCGGGAGCTCTAGTCCTCCCAAAACCTTGGTTCACTGCTCTTTTCGTTGGTACCTGGAAGATCTGTGAAATTTCAGACTCAAGTTGTAGCTCTCAGGGCTACCTGACTATCCTTTGTGAAGCCAAGACCTTGGAGATAGGAGTTTCAAAACCATGTGATCCGTACCCGAGCCAGGAGACCTATAATCTGGCATCTGCAACTCAGTGTGATTTGCCAAATTAAATCATTATAAAATATTGTTATACAATTATTGAATAATATTTTTCCTTCCCTCTGAAATTTTGCTCACTGCCAGCTGCTCCACTAGTGGATTGGGGAAGGGGGCTGGTACCTGCCCTTCCCCTGCAGCTCTTTGCAAGCCCCATGCCTCAATCGTCTGATAGGGGCATGGGGCTGGGACCTTCCCTGACCAAGACAGCTACAAATCCCCACTCTGCAATCATGGGGAGGAGGCTCGGGAGCCTGTTCCCTGACCAGCTCCATGATCACAAAGTACTGCGAGGGACAGGTTGTTCCCAGTCCCCACTCCATGATCGTGATAGAGGAGCCACATCTTGGAACAATCTCCTCAGTCCTCACTCCATGATTGTGAGCATGGGCTGGGAACTCCCTGCTACCAGGGCATGAGGGTATAGTCCCTGCCCGGGCTTTGGTTCCCCAGCAGCAGGCAGGTCCCAGGGCCCGGAAGCAATCTCCCACCCTCTGTAGCCCGGCCGACTAGAAGTCAGTTTACTCCCAGTCAGCCATCTACACATGCCATATAGTGCAGTAAGTAATCCCAAGTAAATTTGCTACCTGTACTGACAGGTAGCAAATTTACTTGTGATTAGAAAAAATTATTGTGCGGTAAGCATCTGCATGTGTAGACGCTGACACATACTGTGCAGTAATTTGCTCTAATGTCTAGTAAAGGGTCTCATGTAGACAGTCCCAATGAAACACATGAATAGCAGCTAGGAGGAGGAGGTATAGCCCTCACTATCTGACTACTTTGTGTGCTGTTGACTGTTGACTTTCCTCTGCTTCCATAACATAACTTTGACCATACTTGGGCAGAACTTATACACGAATTTTTGAGGTAACACCAACCACAAGTCTGCTCTTGATGTTTAAATGCCTTATGATCTCTCATGTTTTCACAGGTGGATCCTGTGGCTGGGGTAGGCATGGAGAACAACAGCAATGTGCAAGAGTTCATCCTCCTGGGATTTCCTGGCACGTGGTACTTCCTCTTCTCCCTCAGCATGGTGTTTTCTATGATGTATGGCCTGACGGTCATAGGGAACATGTCCATCATAGCCTTGGTGTGGACCACCGCACACCTCCACACCCCCATGTACTATTTCCTCTGCAACCTGTCCTTCCTGGAGATTTGGTTCACCACAACCTGTGTTCCCAAAGCTGTGGGCATCCTGCTGGGGAACAGCGAAACCATTTCTTTCTTTCCTTGCATCTTGCAATTGTTCCTTCTTCTCTCCTTGGGTTCTACAGAGTGTTTTCTACTAGCGGTTATGGCCTATGACCGTTACCAGGCTATCTGCCACCCCCTGCGCTATAGCTCCCTCATGAATAGCACCTTCTGTACTCAGCTGGCCTTTGCCTCATGGCTGAGTGGTTTTCTGGCTATCTCTGTGCTAGTATTCCTATTATCCAGGCTGTCTTTCTGTGGCCCGAACATTATCAATCACTTTTTTTGTGACATGAATTCCTTGATAGCTCTGTCCTGCACTGACACTAGTCTTGTCGAGTTGGCAACATTCTGTGTGTCAATTATTGTTGTCGTGGTCTCATGTGCTGTAACCTCGATCTCCTACATCTACATAATCTCCACCATTTTGAAAATTCGGTCAGCCCAAGGGCAGAGAAAGGCCTTTTCCACTTGCTCTGCCCATCTCACCGTTGTGACTATCTGGTTTGGCTCTGCCATTTTTCTGCATGTCAAGCCTTCTGCGGCAAATGCATTGGACAGGAACAAGTTCATCAACATTTTTAATACTATAATAACTCCACTGCTAAACCCTTTCATTTACACTCTAAGGAACAAAGAAGTGAAGGAAGCTTTTAGAAAGGCATTCAGTAGAATGTGAAGTGGTTTTCAAATAGCATGGGAATAAAGGATGCATCCAGATGAGCACATATGTGCCTCTCACGGCATCTCAAAGCAGTTTGAGACACCGCAAGTGGCACGCTGGGAACAAAAGAATGTTCCCCGCACTGCACATTTGCAGTACAGGCTCTAAATTCGACACCTGGAAATCCAGGTATCAAAAAATAACCTGCAGAAAAAGGTAAACCTGCAAGGCACTTTCCTGTAGCATGCCATGAAGCCAGCTGGGGTGGGCCCCTCCAAAGAGATGCTCTGGCATGCAGCCAGAGTATCTCTATGCCTGCCCATTACCCCAGTGGTCTACCATGCTTGCTCAGTATGCGGGTAGGCAGGAGTGGTGCAGGCTGCAGTGTGACCTGTACCCAGGCTCTGTTCCAAGGAAGTAGAGACTGAGGGTGTTGGGGACTGGAGGTGGAGGCTGTGAGGGTGTGGAGGACTGTGTATGGGTGGTGGGCTGCTCAGGAGGGTTGGGTTCTCTACCTTGCAACAACCGCCCTGCAGCAGCGCAGTAGGGCTGAGCGAAATGGCAGCGTTCCATTTTGACCAGTGTTTGGATGAAGCAGCATTTTGTTTTGACTTTTGTTTCATTTTGAAAGAGCTGTTCTGTTTTGTACCGTCGAAACAGGGTTGAAACGGTGAAACTGTTTCTATGTTTCGCCTATAGGATATAATGGGGAAGGACAAAGCAGCCCAAAGAAGCCCCTGCACGTATCTCCTTGAAAACTGGCAGGCGTTGTGGCCTCAGCAGGGGCTACCATCCCTGCAGCTTTCACCCTGCTGTGCCTTAACACACACAGTGTCACCCATGTCACGATTTTTGCTTGTCCACAGCTTGAGGTACATTTTCCCCGAACCCCTGCACCGATCTCCTTGAAATGTGGCAGGCTTTGTGACCTCCACAAGGGCTAGCATGGCTGCAGTTTTGACCCTGCTGTGGCTTAACATATATACGTGACATGAGTTTTGCTTTCAAAAGTTCAGGGTGCAGTTTCCCCAAACCCCTGCACCTATCTTCTTGAAGCTTGGCAGGCTTCATGCCCTCAGAAGGCACTACCATCCCTGCAAGTTTCATCCAAAGCAGGCCAGGAAAATGACAAAGTCATAGGCTGTTTTGTCTTTCCCCATTATAGCCTAAGGGCGCAATGTGAAAACAGTGTCAAAACGGCAAAATGTTTTGACTTGCCTCATTTTGTTTCGAGGCTGCTTTGACTATATCTGTTCCATTTCAATTTTGCTGTTTCGACCTCGAAATGGGTCGAAACAGCTTCAAAACAAAACGTGGCGAAATTTTGCACAGCCCTACTGCACAGCCCACAACCTGCCTGCAGCAGCAGCAGCCACAGGGCGCTGAGTGCCCTCCTAGAAGAGCCCCCCTACAACACAATGCAGCGTGGTGTGGCCCTAGCCACCTGGCATCTGGCGCTGACTGTGTCACGTGTCGCAGCCTGGGGCCATGCACCTTCAGGGAGGTCCGGGCCACTCTGGGTGTACCCAGGTTCTCGTCACTGCTAGCAGGGGCTGAGCCAGACTAGGTCCTTTCTCCATGGAACAGGTCCGGACTGGCCCAACAGCATGCGGGGCACTTGGGACCCTTGTGCACATAATTGGCATTTAGTCACTAAAAATGTCCCCGGTTTAATTTTTCTTTCTTAGTTTAAGATGGCTGAATAAGTAACATGGATGTGATTTACCATACAATGGCTTATTGTGCTATAAATAGTAAAATGTGCTAGATGGCATGTCAGAGCTATTTTACCTTCCTGCCCTTTCAGTACTACTTTACTGCCAGGTGGCATTTTAGGACAATATTTGATATTTTGGTTGGTTTATTTTCTTGGGTCATGCCAAGTTGTTTTGGGGGGGGGGGGTGTTGGTGGTTTTGCTTGAGAGACATGTATTTTGGGGTGTTTTTTTAGTTTAATACACAGTACTGCCCACCGCCCCTGCAAAGCCTCCATTTTTTTTCTGGGTGCTTGTTGCATGGGGCGCTGCTGGCTGGGGAGGGAAATCTTTTCATGCAAAGGTCTGCAAGAGGGAGTTTGCCAGCCTCCTCCTCACAAGTCTGGATTAGTATTCGGGGTCTGTGCCTCAGGCCTCCTGAAGGGGCTGTCCCCTACTCAAGCCTGGTCCCAAAGCAGTTCTGCCCCCCCGCTTTTTCTCCATGCTTGCTGCACCAGACACTGGGTGTGGGGTACATGTAGGGGTACACAAAGGGTCTGGATGCCTCGTGTCTCATGTCATTTGTATCCTCACGGCAAAAATCAGGATTTTTTTCCAAAGCTGAGAACCAGTGTGGGGGTGGCCTGGGGTTGTTATCGAGGTTGATTAAGATTTCTTGGGAATCCCCTGCCCAGGACAGCTTCTCTCAAAGTGGGGTTGGGGGTGGGGGCTGTGATCAGGCCACTCCAACTCCCTTTCCCCCTGTAGTTACCACACAGTGACCAGCATGAGCTAAAATCCCCACCCGCCAAGCAGGGCCGTGGTGTGGGTTGAGGTGAAGAAAGAAACATCCCAGGCTCAGTGAGAGGAATGTTCTTCTCACTTACACTATTTGCATGTTAATCTTTACTTGCTGCATTGGCAGATCATGATCACCCGCAGTCATACCCCCCCAGTCTACAACCAGACCCCTTCAATACGTGTTCCCCTTCCTGTCCTCTACCCTCCAAGCTTGCCCCACTTCCCTGGTACTCCTGATCCTTTTAAACCTATTTTTGTTCCCAGCAGCATGTCCCTGTCCCTCTGCTTGCCATTCCTCTGCCTGACAGTCACATTGCTGCCTCTTTCTGGGAGTGCAGGGGGCTGTGGGTCAGGAGTGAGGGGCACCAGCTGGGCTGAAGGGGCAGGGGGCTGCAGGTAGGAAGTGAGTGCACCGGCATCTGACACCTTGCCTGTGTGCCACTGGGGGACTCTCCTGGACATCTCTGGCCAGAGTCTTGGCCAGCCCAAAGCGTGGTTTGTGCATGCCAGGCTGCCAGCTGACAGTCCCCCATGCCCACTGTACTAAGTGTATGGGCTCAAATAAGGAATTTCTTTCGGGCTGGAATTAGAGGTGGAAATCTTTCTTGGGCCACCCCATGCCATGCCTCTGGTTTTTCTAGTTTTCTGTTTTTCCTTGAACTGGGATGTATTTTGGGCTGGGGTTACAGCTGGAAATTTAATCTGGTCCAGCCCATGTGGCCAGGGGTGTCCAAGAGAGCCCCCCCCAGTGCCACAGAGGCATGCCATGGGGTAGCCCTAACTCTGGAGTGTAATAGCCACATATAACAGTGTATGGGAATGGCGGAGATTCGCCCAGGTCTGGGGTGTAACAGCTGCATATAACAGTGTATGGGGACAACTGAGATACACCCCAGAGCTGGGTGCAATGGCCCCATATAACAGTTTAGCATAGCCCTCACCATATGCTGCCACGGCCCTTCACTCCTGATTCGCAGCCCCCTACCCTCTCAGGAGCGGTGTGCAGTGGGTCCCAAAGGGATCAAAGCCCTGAGCTGCAGGCGGCAGCTTGGGTTCTTTCCGACCCCGCTCTGGCATGAAGCCGGGTTACTCAATGTGCAGACAGCACATGGAGGATCCCAGAGGCACTAGACCCTGGAGCTGGAGCTAGTAGCCCAGGCATTGATAGCTCAGTAGCACAATTTTGCCTGCCATGTGGGAGACCTAGGTCTGATTCCCAACCAGGGCACCAGAAGGTTGAGTTTCTTGCAAAAAGGAATCCCACTGGGAAGTGGGTTCCCCTCACCTCTTTACCCTGCCTCACTGGAGTGCCTAATACTATGCCTCAAATTTTGTGGGATCTGCATCTTATATTTTGTGAACCCCGTGCTTCAAGTCTGTTGTTGATTTGTCTGTGTTATATGTGTATGTTCACCTAAAATCCCTTTGACTCCCCTCTGCTCCCCTGTTTTCCCCGACTCTCCTGGGTGCCCAGGGAAGGGAAGTACCATTATCTCCCAGGGTCCCCTTGCCCCCCGCACTTGTGTTATATTCCACCC